ACAGCGACACTAGTGTCGCTGTAGGCCACAGCGCCACTTACATAAATAATTAAATCTATTTTTTAAAATTACGTTTTTAAATAAATATTTTTTATTTTTATAAATATATAATAAGTATACTCAGTTGATTATTTTAAGATTACATTTAAATTATTTCAGTTTTTTTCATTTTTTTTCTTAAATGGTGTCGCTATGGGCTACCCCAGCTTTGTTGGCTCACATACTGTGTTGGTCCAGCCCATAGCGACACTGTTGTGGCTCATTCCAGCCATCCCTACGCCAAAAAAAAAAAGTCACGTGGCATGGGTGTCGCTATGGCCCATAGCGACACCGTTGTAAACAGCCCCAAAGGCGTAAATAAATTCAAAACAGCCCCATTTAGGTAAATAACTTGGTCAACGACCCCACTTTGGTCAAAAAGCCATACAAGAAAGATAAGAGAGAAATAAATAAGAAGATGGATCAAGCAACCTATCTTATTTTTACTCTCTTTGACCCTATTTCTTACACATTTCTTTTCTACCAAACAAAGCCTATCTTATTTTCATTTACTTTACCCTAATTCTCACTCATTTCTTCTCTATCAAACAAGATTGTAGTTCAAAGAACAATATTAAACAAACATAACTATTTTTTAAGAGATTTATATCATTTCTCATGGGAAAAAAAACAATAAAAAAAATAAATGAAGGAAAAATAAAACATAGTAAAAAATAATAATCAACACATTTATTATTTTATCGTGTAGGTTAATTATTTGAAATAATTTAATAAAAATGAACAATTTAATGAGCCCCGTGATTTATATCGTCGTAGATTTTATTGGTGAATATTTTATAATACTCGTGACGCTTTTTCATTTTGAAGAGGAAAATTTTGTTCTTCACATCATTTTAATTAGAGTTTTCTTATGTTTTTAATGAGCCCAATGATTTTTATCTCTCAAATTTAACATCAATCTTTTCAATCCTATAAATTATATAAAAAAAAAAGTTTTTTTAGTTTTTCTATTCAAACATCATTAATGAATCTGCTACACAAATATATGAAATGTCAAAGTAATAAACTAAAAAAAAAACATACTAAAATTATAAATAATGGTAGAAAAAAAGAAATTACAAATAACTTTATTATAACTAAAAAGCTTAATTATTTCTATTAATAAGCCTTAAACCACATATAAAGAGAAATAAGAGAGTAAAACTCACAGATTACTTTTTAAGAATCCTGTAAAAAAGAAAAGATTACTTTAACAATAAATACTACATTTTTATTGGAGGAAAAAATGTATCAAAAGTAAGTATATTGCAAGCATAAATCATGCATATTAATCAGCTATTTTTTTTTAAGATATGTAACAGGAGTTACTGCAATATTTTCCCAGGCAAGTTTATCCTCATGATTCATTTATTGAACATGTAATACATGAGAGGAATAATGAACAGAACAATACATTTATAGAAGATAACAGTTTGTTTCACCTACTTCGGCCCTTGTTTCATCTACTATACAGCAGAGCATTGTCCTCTGCAGTCCAATCTGAATAGTTTTCGGTAGCAAATCCATCCATGTGACAAAAAATTGGAAAAGACTAAATAAACTACAAACACAACTTAAAACATAAATGTTACCACGTTAATAATAAACAGAGACAATGGATGTAACTCCTTAGTAGTATGAATGATCTTTTGAGCTATACAAAGTCACTGTAATCCATGTTTATATTTTTGCTCCTGTGAAACCAAGCAAGTAACTTTTTGCCATACATGTTGCTCTGCATTATCATGGAATTTAGTTTGATCAGTCGCTCCAAGGCATTCCGAACACCACCCTGCAATTCATCCTTCAGTGATCAGCAAAATAGAATATGATTAAAGCACAAACATAAAGATTACAACAGCTCAAAAGTGTTTGAGTTCACAGACCTTAGACACCAACAGTGCTGATTTGATGACATAATTTCCATAAGGATCCACAAGCAGCATTCGAACATTTGGATTATGTAGCAGCTCAAAAATAATAAATGCTGAACACAGTCCACCTGAGTCTAGAAAGAACTTCTCCACTACATTACTCCCATATTTGTTGCATGAAAGATAGAAAAATTTTCCTTCAAGCTGTCTCAGTAGTCTTTCTGCAAGTCCTGGTATTTTCAGGGACAATAAATGTTGCACAACATAATTGCTGCCAGATGAGAAAACAAAATACAAAATTAAAAATAAACATTTAAATACATTGGTTAGAAAAGAGAAAACTTGATAGAAGGTAAAAACAACAAACCCGTATCGGTCTTCTGCTAGAACTGAAGCATTAAATAAGATAGCATCAATCATATTCTTTTTTGTTCCTCCTTGTGCATTGTTAAGGCACTGCTGCAGCACACAACACCCAGTCTTATCTATTGCGATCCAAAAGCACTTCATTGCTACCATATTGAGAAGATGCTGCACCAAAAAAGTCTACAATCAAAACTTAATGAAGGCAGAAATATCATAGCAAAATAATTTGACAAACCAGGTCTTATCCAAAGAGTAATAAACATAGCTTCCTTTTGAATTTCTTTAAACAAAAATAATACTGAATCTGAATCATATATGAAAGTACCATTTTTAAAGAACTTAGCCAGACAATAGCAGACAGGTCACTCTTCATTTACTTCAAATACAAAGTAAAAGAATGAATGAAGAAAATTAGTAAAAGGAAAATTTCATAAATATGGATAAAATAAAGTGGCATGAAGGTATTGAATATCTTTATACAGTCCAATATAGCAGACAAAATACTCCATTCCGATTCAGAAACTTAATGAAGACCTGCCTAAGGGGGGAAAAAGAAACATAAAAAGAACTAGCTATTATACCATGGCAGCAGTTCCAGAAACCATGAAAATAACTTTCAATATAAATGGCATAAAAAGTTAAATCCAAAATATTCAGAATAGCATCATCCCCTTAAACACAATTGAAAAAATCTTCCATTCCAATATAGCACGGAGCTATTGTTGAACCTGCTTGATTATAACTAATTGCATAAATAACAATTTTACCACATAGTTCCAAAATGTGCTTATTTGTAAAGGAAAGAAATTAGTTGACCTTGGATATTCTCGGTAGAAGCATAAAATTGAATGTGTGAAATCAAACAAAGCAGTACATAACAAAACGATTAACAAACATTACCTTATTGTCTTCACAAGAAAAATGTTTTAGACAATGCAGAAGCGCACGATGACCATTCACATCCTTAGCCAACACAGCAGCACCGGGGCTAAGAGCTGATATAACACGACTTCGTTGCTCCTGGGTGGTAAGATGCTCCAATAATTTCTCAACCGCACGGATTCTGAAAGTAGATATCAAAACCACTTTATTAAATAAAAATACATATGTATGAATAAACCATCAATTTAGTACCTAAACAATCGTTCTCTCTCTTAATTAGTCCTTGAACTAACAAAATTATATAAATAGTCTTTACCGTATTGAATATTTATCAATTTAGTCCCTGATTTGATATATTTTACTAAGATTGAAGGGTTTTAAGAAGTTTTCAATACTCGAGAGACTATGTAGCATGATTTCTAATTCTCTAGGTCTAGGGACTATTTATATAATTTCAATAGTGTAAGGACTATTTACGAGAAAGTCATGATCAAATTGCTGGATTATTCGTAATAAAGAGACGAAGTTGGTGGCTTCACAAACAATTAAGACATGAAGCTATAGTAAGCAAACAAAAATTGTTGAGAAGGGGAGAGTCAACAGTTATACCCATGAGAAATAAGACATATTTTGACTAACTGAAAGTTATACTGAGTGACACTTAAAACGATCTGATTCAGCTGCTCCTCACTGCAAATTTCCACCATCCTCTGAACAACATAGTTCCCAAAGGAGTCAACCATCAACTCGGGCACGTGACTTATGAGCTCCAAAAAGATGATAGAAAACTCCTCTCTCGTCAACATTTTCAAAGTCTCCTGCAAAGTCCTACTCTCGTGATGATCCTTAGCCAGCAACAGAACCATCCCACGCATATCACTGAACCAACGGAGGCGTCTCAATGCGGGGTTTTCTCTTTGCCTCGCCAAAGGATCGCAATGGAGAAACCCATCATCGTAAGGGTTACAAAGATTGGAACTTTGAGGGGTGGGAATTACCCCACTTCCCCAACCGTTACAAGATGAAATCTTTGAGGCACCGGTGATGCCAGAAGACCCATTGGCCACGAAATTAAAAGGTGGGTCATTGAAAGGAGAACCGAAGACGCATAAACGAGCAAACACGTCTTCTAGGGTTTGAGGAGGGTTTTGGATCGGAGACATGCAGGAGGATTGTTTAGACGACAAAGAAGAAGACTCGTTATCATCCTTGAGGCGGCATTGGAAATAAACCAATAAAATAGGAAGAAACAATAAGGGTTTAGAGAAAGGGGTTTAAAGATAGATAAAGAATCAGGGATTTTTATTTGTTGTTACCAAATAAGTAATTGCAAGAAAAGTGGAGAAGAAAGGGGATTAGGGCGAGAAATTGGGAGAGGTGGGAAGGAACAGTTGAAGAAGAAAGGAGAGTGTTGCTTGTGAGTACCGTTTTGCATGCAATATATAGTAATGAGATACTTTTCATGCGAGAGAGAGAAACTGAGTCCTCACGCGGCTATAGACTATGTGAAAGCCATGTCCCAATGTTTCCCTTATATAATGTTGATCTTCATTATGTACTTTTTAGGAAAAAATTATTCTATTGACCAAGACTACATGGTCCCACCAATATCTGAATGACACATAAATATTATTTTATAAATTTAAAATATAATTATATATCAAGTAAAGATCGAATCAACTATACTTTTAAATTTTATAAAAATAAAAAATAAAAAGACTCAGATATGTTGTTGGGTACGTGTAAAATAAGCTAATTTTATTTTTTATTATTATAAAAAAAATTAATTTTCATCCTTAAAATGTAAAATTATTATTTTTCCTCCTTATTCATACATGATATTTATGTGTTTAACTGAAAGTTAAATAGCAATTTCATGTGATATTCACTCATTTTTTAATAATATAGTGACAGGCCACACTTTTATATCTTTTCTAGATTCATAAAATAAATATATCATTTATACGATTAATAAAAGTGATATATTATTTTAGCATATACTTTATTTTAATTATTTTATATTTATAACTTTTTAAGTATTTTTATTATATTTTTTAATTAATTACTCAAAATGACTCACATTCATTATTAACTTCTCTTCCATAATTAATTTTAATATTTTTTTACTATTTATTTTATTTTTATTTTTTAAAATAGAATACATGAAGACGCTAAATACTTTTCGTATCCTAGTCTATGTTTAAATGATTGTATAAGAATAATAGTTTTTAATTTTAGTATATAAAAATAAAAATAAAATATTTTGTAGAGACTAAAATTAAAATTTATTTACTATATAAGATAAAATTAAAAAAATGAAATTTAGAAGCAAATAATTTTTTTTGAGGAACAAAATCAAAAGGCGCATTTATAATATATTATTTTGAAATAAACTAAGAATATATTTAAATCATCAAATATTTTTGTTTTCCAACCGAATGGGCAAATGTGTGTAGGCTTCTTTATGTATAATGTTAATCTTGACGTCCTTTTAGGAAGAAAGTATTATATAATGTAAGAAAAATGTTAATCAACACATTAATTAGGAAGTTAAATTAATTTTTTAATCGAGAAGTGTAATAATATAATCTCTGATTTCTAATGGCCTTTATAGTATATATTTAACTATTGTTCTTTTAACGAGTATCTTAAAAATTTAGTACTAGAATATGTAATCTCTATTAATCTTCAAATAACATGTTTTTAGTTTATAAATTAAAAAAAAAAAAAATATATATATATATATATATATAATATGTTACTTTTTTTATGTGTTAGTGAAATTAATAATACATCTTATTTGTGGACGAAATCGAGAATATTGAACAACTAATAAATAATTTATAAAATTTATTATTTTAATG